CTCTCTCTCTCTCTCTCTCTCTCTCTCTCTCTCTCTCTCTCTCTCTCTCTCACACACACACACACACACACACACACACACACACACAGATGAACCCTTTCTGTGTCGGGTGTATGAGGTTTTCCACAACTGGAAGGATTTCGACAAAATTTTATAGAAAACCTTTCGGATGTCCATTTGTTCCCTTTTTCATGGAGTAGTGCTAGAACCTTTTGTCCCACCCCTTTCCCGATGCAGCCCGAGTTCCATACCGTGTGATAGAATCGCATCAAGTCAGGGGACGTCGGTCTCCAAAATGTCTCATAGACTTCTCGGGTAGACTGTCTATTCTGGGGGTGTTCTCTTCCTCAATTTGCACGAGAGATTTCCATATCTGCTCGCCAGTCACTGCCGATACCAGGTTCTGTCGCCGTTGGGGGGACAGCTGTCTTTAGCAGCCCTAGAAATGTCTCTCTCTCTCTCGCCTTCCGTTTTCTAGGGACTGCCAGTGTGCTTGACATTGTGGGGTGATAAACTCTTTATAGAAACCTCTTGCGATTTGGATACAGTGCGGTATAGAGGTGGCTGTCGTCGCCACTCCCTGTCTAGGATCCAGTAGTGCCTCTGTGACATTTTGCCTAGAACGGGCGTTTGGCATGCTCAAGAAGGAGGACTGCATCCTGAAGGACGAATCTGCCCTGCCTTCTGTAGAGTGCTGGAGGCCTGGAGACACGCGCGTAGCAAGCTCGGCGGATCCGACCGATGACTTTTAAGAAACTGACAAATGCCTTCCCGAAAAGAAGTTAAAAAATGCAAGTCTAGGATACACCAGAGAAAAATGCCAGCGCAGTGGGGACTTTTTAGAAACCGGCGAACACCCAGAAACCGACAAACATCCTCCCCAAAAGAGACCGAAACCAAACTCCACGGCACACCGACGAATTAAGACTGTGCAGTTCAAGCTCATCGCCGTCTAGGAGAAAACCGATACTGCCCTCGGCTTGATGGGAAACATCTTTTGGGATGCACAGGGGCTGGCAGGAAAAGTCTTGAGAGATTTGCTGCACCCTTTATGTAGATAGAGACAAGCGATTGCTCCCCTAGACTAAGCCAGCGGCATGCAGCTGCTGCTCCTCCACCCTGCCCCTAAGCGACCTCCTCCTCCCCGTTTTCTACCTCAGATGGGCCTGCTATGGGCCTGGCTCCATTAATTACCAGATGTGCAAAATGTGCAAATGGAGAATAGGGGAGGGAGGGTCTATGTACTTGTATTTGGACAGTCGGGAGTATTCATGGACAACGAACGCGAGCAGCAAAAGCGCAGCATAAGAGGCACAAACCGAAACAAAGGAACTGGGGGCAGTGGGAAGAAAACGACAAAAGGGCAGAAAATCGAACGAAATGACATCCTCGTGAACTGCAAAGGAGGGCACAAAATGATGATTCACAGGTGAAAAAGCCCTGCTGTGAGTATGGCCAGATCTACACGGCAGAAAGCCTTTGATAGTCGGCGAAGTGCGAGGCAGCCCAATGAGACCCCCACCGTCTCAAAAATCTTGTGGCCCTGTGCAAACCATCGCCCGAGGACTTTTTTTTTTTTTTTTTTTTTAATGAGGCTACGCTCCAATCTATCCGTGGGGAGCAACATGGGCCCAGCATCCCTTATCAGATACAACATGAGATGCCGTGTTTGAAAAAGAAGAACTTGGAAACATTCCTGAGGCTACGCTCCAATCTATCCGTGGGGAGCAACACGGGCCCAGCATCCCTTA